GCATGCACGATCATATGGAACATTGTCATGCTAAGAGAAACGTGCATCTTGGCAACTCTATGAAATTAGGAATGGTTATTTTGTCGTCCTTCATAGTCGTACCAACTAGGAAAACTGTATTTTGTTTTTTATTATGACTTCTTGTCCTACCTTTGCATGTTTATATAAATATCAATTTACTTTTCGGTTAGTTTTGACACATCAAAACACAAGAGAGCTTAACATGTAGTTTTGTGAAACTTATGTTTCTAAGTGTTGTACTAAAAAAGTGTTCTCTTAGTGATAATATTTCTATTATTAGATACCAATTAGATCCTAATTAGAAATATTCTCACATATAAGCAATTTTACTAATCTTAATTCTCTAAATGTTAAAGGTTTATTTGAAAGACAAATTTATGCATAAATTCACATTGCTTAGCTTAATTACTTTTAATGAAAATTATAAGGACAAAAATAGTTGGAATACACTAAACTTTCGAGTCTGGCACCATCTAACATGTTTTAATTAGATAATTAAACCATATTGTCAATATTAAACTTGATCTAGACTATTGAGTTTAGCATAATATAGCGCTATATACTAGTAATATAGTATCTATTGTTTCGTTAAGTTTATAATTAGTAAGTCATTAGATTTTACGACTAAATTTGTTTTTAAATAAATCCTGCATATTTGGGAAAGTGTAATTACAAGTCCTTACTGATTTGAATATAATTATTAGTAATATAATATTTATTGTTTCATTAAGAGTATATCCAAACCCCATTTAATTAAAGACAAAAATCGTCTTTGAAAGAATTTTAACAAAATAGAAATGAGTATCTATAAATACAACTATTGAAGGAAACATTTGAAAATAAAAAAAAAAAAATTATTACATATATTTAGGCAAAAACATATAATATGTTGTGTTTACTGTTTAGACATGGCTTTGAAGTTGAAGAAGAAGCAAAGTAGTTGACGTTGAAGGCCCGGCCCTCCGTCAAATCTATTACGCAGTTTTAGGCAGAGATTTGCGTGATATAATATTATTATTATTTAAAAATAAAATAATTAAAAGGTCAAACAGGCTCAGACAATTTGTCTCTTTATTTTTCTTGCTTCCTTTCCACTTTCCTCATTTCCATCTCTGCTTTTTCTGTTTTACTTATAACCAAACAAGAAACAAAGGCACAGAATTATCATTACCTCACCATTTCCATGGAAATTCAATCCAATTGGGAGGATCAGAACGATCCCTTTGAGTCTGGTTTGAGCTCCATTGTTACGTCTCTGCAGCATCCAATGGAGTGCCTTCCTGCTGATGCTTTTATGATCAGAAGTTATTGGAAGACTGGGAAACATTTGTAATTCTTCTGATATTTCACCCAATCTTATCTTAATAATACTTTCTCAATTCCCTTTGAATCAAAAAGCTTGGTGGATCTAACGATGGGAATAAGAAATTCAGTAGGTCTTCAACGCCTGAGGAGTCTTCAGTCTCAGACCAGATCCCGAAACCCCAAATTGATTCTAATCCCAGAAAAAGAAAATCCATTCCAAGACCAAAGTAACAAACACACCACAATGATCTTGTTTCTTTATTTACTTTTCTTAATTATCTCTTCATTCGTTCAATTCCTCTTTTCAGTTGGTAGCAGAAACTGAGGAATCTGATACAAAGAGAAGCAAGGCAGAGACATATACAAATGATAATTCAAAGCCACCAGAGCCACCAAAAGATTATATTCATGTGAGAGCCAGAAGGGTCAAGCGACGGATAGCCACAGTCTGGCTGAGCGAGTAGGATTTCAAAACTCTTTGTTAGTTTAATTAATTAGATTTGTATTGACATATATGTGGTTTGTTGTTATAAAGGTACGTAGAGAAAAAATCAGTGAAAGAATGAGTTCCTTCAAGATCTTGTTCCAGGTTGTAATAAGGTAAAGATGCAGAATATATGGTACATGCTCAGCTTTTCACACCACCCAATTATTTCTGACTCAGATTTCTGAAAACAGGTGACTGGAAAAGCAGTCATGCTTGATGAAATTATTAACTACGTCAGTCACTGCAGCGCCAAGTTGAGGAAAAAATTAAGCACAAGAACCAAATTTTGTTCAAAAGTCAACTACTTTTATCAGCTTTTGCTCAACTTTTGTTTTTCTTCACAGTTTCTCTCTATGAAGTTGGCTTCTGTGACTCCAAGAATGGACTCGAACATGGATGCTCTTCTGTCAAAAGATGTAAGTGGGTCACTTTTTTATTTCTAAATTTTCCAGTTATGTGTCTTAATATAACTAAATGTAATAAAGCAGATGTCAATTAATTCTATTATACCTACACTTTATAGATAATTATGTAACACTCCTTTTGGGTATACATAAGACCTCTTTATAATAATATATAATTAAATACCAATAAATAAAAAAATTATTAAATAAAATATGATAAATATAATATAAATATTAAATAAATAAAAATAAAATAAAAATATTAATCATATAATATATTTAATATATTATAAATATAATAATTTATAAATAATAATATATAAATATAATAATAAATCAAAAAAAATAATAAAATATTTTAAAAAATAATATATATATATATAAAATATAAATATATAAAAATAAATAAAAAAACTATTATTAAATTTAATAAAAATATTAAAAATAAATTAAATATATAAACTATAAAAATATTAAATATAATAATAAATAATATATATATAATAATATTAATAAGTATAATAAAATTAATATAAAAAAAATATATATGATAAATAAAATAAATTAAACAGTTTTTTTTTTAAATAAATATTATAAAATAAAATTAAAATAAATAAATAAAAATATAAATATTAACATAAAATAAAAATAATAATTATATAATAAATAATATATAATATATAATTATAAAATATAAATATAAAAATAAAAATATAATATAAATCATATAATATAATATACTATTAAAATAATAAATATATATAAAAATATAAAAATAAATAAATATAATATATAAAAAAAAATTAATAAGTAATAAATAATAAAATATATAACTATAATAACAAGAACAATATTAAAAATTATAATTATAAATAAATATATAAAAATTATAAATATTAAAATTAATAAACAATTATCTATATAATTAATAAAATAAAAAATATAGATAAAAATATAATATCATAAAATAAAAATATAAATAAATCATAAATAAATCTAAATAATATATAATATAAATATTATTATAATAAATATATAAATATATTATATAATAAATATAAATATAATATTAAATAATTATAAACATTAAAAAAATATAATATAAATAAATATATAAAATTATATAAAATTTTATAAAAATATAAAAAATAAAAATATTATTAAATTTATATAAAAATATAATAATAAAAATAATATAAAATAAATAATAAATATATATAAATTTATAATATATAAAATATAATATAAATATAAATATAAAAACAAAATAATAAATATAAATAATATATATTAAATATAATATATTATATTATTAATAAATATAATATAATAAAATATATATATTTTAAAAAATAAATATATATATAAAATAAATAATTAATTAAATATATTTAAATAATTGAAAATAATATAAAATAAATAATTTAAATATAATTAAAATTATAAAATATAATAATAAAAATATATAAATATAAATATAAATAAAATAAATATATTAATAAAATTATTAATATAATTAAAAAATAAAAATTAATATAAAATATAATATAAATAAATATATTATATAAAAATAAATTTATATATATATTATATAATAAATATAATAAAAATAAATAAAATATAAATATTATAAAATATATAATAAAAAATAAAAAATAAAAATATAATATATATATAATAATAAATAAATTTTATAAAATATATAAAAATATAATATAATAAAAATAATATTAATACTAACATATATATATATAAGATTAAATATATAATAAATAAATATAAAAAAATAAAAATAATTATAAATATAATATAATAATTAATAATAAAAAATAAAAAATAAATATATAAATAAATAAATATAATTTAATATATATTAAAAATAAAATATATATAATATATATATATATCTTAAAAAAAATATAAATAAAAATATATTATTATATACCTATAATAATAAATAAAAAATTATAAATAAACAGTAATAAAATAAAAATAATATATTTATATAATATTAATATAAATAATAGTATATATAATATATAAAAAATATGACAAAAATATATAAATTATCATAAAATAATTAATAATCTAAAAATAAATATATAAAAATTAAAAATTAATGATAAAATATTATAAATAAAATAAAAAAATATATATAAAAAATTAATAAATAAAAAAATATATATTAAATAAATAAAAATAATAATATAAAATATAGAAACAAATATATAAAAAATTAAAAATAAATAATATATATAAAAAAATATATAATATTATTAAAATTAATTAAAAAATAATAATATAAAAAAAATTTATTAATAAATATTAAAAAATAATAATATAATATTAATAAATAAATATACAAATAAATAATAAAAATAAAATATATAAAATTTAAAAAATTTATAAAATATAAACATATATAAAATATAAATAATATATAAATAAAATAATTAATATAAAATTAATAAATTAATTAAAATAAATAATATAAATTATTTAAATTATAAATAAAATAAAAAATAATAAATAATATAAAATATAATTCATATAAAAAAAATATATAAAATATAAATATATAATTATATAATATCTAAATAATATATATATAAATAAATATTAAAAATATATATAATAAATAATAAAAATATAATAATAATTAAAAATTGAGTTAATGTGTATGTAGAAACTTAAATGTAAATGCAGATGTTTCAATTATCTCGTGGATCTGGCAACCTACACTTTATCCAGTAGATCTTCAGTAACACTCCCTTTTGGGTATCAGCAAGAGCTGCCTCTGTATAATAATAGTAATGCAGAAAATCAATTTTAATTAACCAATTGCATCAAAATCCAAGCATGCAATTCCCTCCATTAATGAAGCTGCCTCTCAGGTAATCTAATCTTATATGCTTAGAAGAAGAATATCTCTAATTTCTACATATTTTTGCAAGATCCCAATGCTAATTACACTAAAAATAAAATTCATTTGAGGTTCCATCATTCTGGGAGGACGACCTTCAAAGCCTTGTTCAAATGGGTTTTAACCGGAATCAGCCACAGGCCTTTCATGGTAAGTCAAATTTTTTTGTGCAATCTTCAAGATGTTGAGCTCAAATTTTTTTTAATAGAAAGAAAACATTTGATGCAGGGTCAATGGGTGAAGCTCAGTTGAAAATTGAGTTGTAATTACCAGCAATAATCAACAAAAAAGTTTTAATTGGATTGAAGCCCCAGTCCCCGAAAAGAGAGGCTTCTGATAGAGATGGATTCGAGTGAAGAAGAAGAGCATATTTATTTCTCATTCTAATTTGGCTTATGTTTGATTAGAGGTCTTAGAACTAATTGCAAAATGGGAAAGTTTTGGTTTCAACCATAAATTAAGGAAAGATATGTTTCATTGAGAATGATGGGTTGTTTAGATTGATGAAAGTGGCGTAATTGTGGGCAAGGAAAATAGATTCTTACTTGAACCAGCTGTTAAGTGGGGACAAAATATGGTATGTTAAGTCCAAAGATGATAAGAATGATTTGTTTTGAGCTGGAATCCAACCCCTTTTCTTTCTATTTTACTGTTTAACGATTTTGACAACCTATTTGCCTCAAAAGCACAGGTTGGGAGGGATGTATGGATACCATTCCAGATGGATCCACTACCTTTATGTGAAAAATCCATATCGTTGAATGTTTTTATTTGACATGTCCAATTTTTAAATCACTTTTTTTTTTTGGTAAATGTGGGGTATAGGGCCGGCTTGCTCGTGTTTCAATTAATCTCTAAGTCTATTGAACATTATAAGTCAAAAGATCATATAAGTCATAATGTTATTGTAGTAGGTGATCCTACGGTTTGAATCTAGAAACTCATGAAAGCAAGTAAACCGTTGGGCCAATCCATTGGGATTTACTTTTTCTTTACATAAACACATATTATTATTTGAAATCTGTGTATATTTCAACAAGAAAGATAAGTCAAAATTTTTATCATGCAACAATATCTTCGCCAACTCTTTTTAAAAAAAAATATGTAATTTTGGTAGAATTTATTATATTAGAAAGATAATAAAGACAATTAATTTTACACTGTGAAAGGTGTCTAGATGTTGTTTATGGTGGGTTTTAGAGATTATTAGGGTGTTTATTTAATTTACATGGTGGTTATAAGTAGTTTTGTAAAACTTCATATGAAAGGCACATGCCAAAGCCTGGTCTTAGCATAGGTATACTCCGAGCCTGATTTCTTGGGCCGGGCCCAAGTGTTATGCTCACACCGAGTCGGTTTTTTTTTTTTTTTTTTTTTTTTTTTTTTTTTTTTTTTTTTTGTTTATAAACTTCCTTTGACGAGAAGAGAGGATGCAATTGAGAACTTGAGAGAAAGAGATTTTCAAAGAGAAATTTGAGAGAACAAAATGTTGTTGGCCTTCTAAGCAGTTGCATATGGCTGAAAGTGAGTTTCCTTATTTCTTTTATCACCAATGTATTTCTATTTGCTGTGATTTTTTGGTTATTTTAAGTAATTCCCCTACGTAGTCATATCACTAATTTAATTCTAAACTATCACGGTTTTGTTTAAAAGAAAAAATAACCAAAAAATCATGTGAGTTAACCTAATTGTCTCAATAAAAAATAATAAAGATAAATATAGTCAAATACACTAGACTATAAGTCTAGCACATTTTAATCAAATTAACTCATACATTAAATAAAAATATCAAGTCTAGTTTGATCCAACATAATCTAACGTTATATGTTATAAAACATATCTTTGTTGTTTCATTAAAGATATAATTGACAAGTCACTTGATTTTACAGACTAAATTTGTTATTTAAATAAAAACTTCACATTTTGAGAAAATAAGACTATTGACTTGGTTATATATGTCCAAACCCTTTTAATTTTATGCACAAAGATACGTGGTATGTGTTGATGCCCACTTTCGTCAAGGAGGGCCCTCAAGGCGCAATATGATTTTAGATTTAAACAAAGCCTATTAGGCTCCATTAAAGGTTTGTTTTCTCAACTCTTTCCCGAAGACCGACAGACGACCAATTTTATGAGACTAGGTTCTACACCTGGGCATGAGTGTACTCTGTGAAAAAAAAAAAAAAAAAAAATCTCTTTATTTGCCTCCATATGGAATTTCATGACGAATGATTTGGCATGGAGGCTTCGCTTATGGATGTCATTCGGGCGAGTTGAGTTGGATACTAAGATTTTTATACTATACATACTGTATGGGTAAAAAATGATCTTGGATTGATGATGCCTAATAACGAAATAAACATATCACGGTCAACGTTTATCCCAATTCTGATTGGGTCTATACTTAAAATCACCTTGTGAACTACACGTCTATGAGTTGTGCTATCCTACAAGTTAAGTTGAACTGGGTTCTGACCTATGACCTACAACACTCTATAAATAGGAAATCATAATTTTATTCTATTTCTCTTCTGCTAAGATTTGAAATCTTACTCAAATTAGTAAATTTAATCCAATAAAGGCAAGAAATTCTAGTTCTTCTGATAGAGATTATCTCCCAAAATAAGGCTCGATGTGGATTTAACCCCTTAGGTTTACTATATAAACAGAGGTATGCCCTCTCAAATTCATTCAATCTCCTACTCAAAATCACTTATTTGCTCATAAGTTCTTGCTCTCAAGAATTAGACAACTTTGCCGTAGTCATGACGCTCGACTAGACTCTAGTAACCCTTTTTCCCTAATATTATTAAAATTCTCTTTCAGTCTTGCTAACTTGAGCGTCAGAGTGCTTATGACAAAACACCATCTCAGTGTTTCCATAAGCTTATGTGTGTCTCTTTGTGTATGCAGGTCTAACGGATTGTCAGTGGCCTCAACTCACGGGATCAGACCTAATTTCTGTAATTATAGAATTTTTACATTACACACACCTATTTATGAATATACTCAAGAGCACACCATTATCTAGAAAATAGGTGGGTTTTGGGTTTGGGTATTTTTTACCAAAATACCCTAGTTTACCCATTTGACCTTTTCTTGCGAAAAAAGAAAAGTCAAATGTAACACAATATATCTAAATATTCTAGAATAATATATCAAAATACTAAATAAAATAAATTTAATATGAATCTTGCATTACCTATTGCATATCTAAATTATATGACTTTAGTAATTATAGATGAAACAATTTAATTACAATATATTTTCATATTCACAGGTGAAGAATGACAAGAAATCTGTTTTAAGTCAATAAAAGGATAAAGTTGTGGTGGCTACGGTTTTCTTTAATTTGAATAAAGAAAAAGAGTAAATATAATAACTTTTTATGAATAATATTCATAATTTTTAATAGTAAAAGTCATATATAATATTGATTTACAATTATATATTTTTGGGCAAAAATGGGGCAAGTCAGGGTAAAAGTTAGCATTCCATTCTACCTCTGCCTCAAAATAATTTGGGGTCAAGATATTCAAACTGAATCCGCTCTAACCCAAAATTTTACTCCCAACTCCAACCGATTAGGGTGACGCTTCAAGGAGCCCCAAACCATAGGTCATTTTCAGATTGCTAGTCCCGTTACCTTGGTTCTAGAGTCTTTTAGGGTTATAAAGACATGAAAGTGCTAAGTTTATGTTATATTTATCTTTTAAAGAAAACTATGTGGATTTGAATAAAAATTTTAGATTTATTTATAAAATATTTCTTAAGACAAAATTATGAACATAAGATCACTCTTTGAAGTTTGATCTTTTCAGATTGTGGGGTGAGACAATATATATCGATTAAGGTATCAGAATTTCATGAAATAAACATAAGTACTCTTAAATTGATTAATTTAGGGATACTTACAGTGATTTGCCGTTACTTTAACAAAAAACAGACTTAGCTACCCCTAGATATTTATTTATAAAATTCTTTTGTTTTTGAATATTAGTTTGAAAATTTAAAAAAAAAATGTAAAGGTTTGAATAATAATAATAAAAAAAAAAAATAAAACTAAAAAATCTTTGAATGTTATTTTTTAAAACCAATATATTAAAAAAAAAAAAAAAGACAAAAAAGAAAATCTAGTTTGAATACTAACTTAAAAAAAAATAATAGAGAAAATGCCAATTTATATCTTTAAAAAAAAAAAAAAAAAAGTAAACCAAAGAGAATTTAATAAAAGTAAAAAAAAAAAAAAGAAAAAAAAAGAAAAGGGAAACGCCATTAATTTATTTACATTTTTCTTTAGTAACTTATTCATTATACCGTACAAATTTAGTTTTCATTCCGTTTTTATCATTTAGTGAAAATGTGTACCCTAATTGATAATATAAGCCTTAAAAAGTAGGGATATAAATAACCAAACTTTACGGTGATCCCCTCTACCATTTTATTGACTAGACCACGATGGACTTTGTCATTAACACTTGCATGCATTGAATGTTAATTGTTTATCCAACTTCTAAGAAAGAGATGCTAGACCACCTTATGCACCAAACCACATTACACTACATGGTTTAGCAATACAGTGAAACATTATATTCATAATTGAATTTACACAAACCTTGAAGGGGTCAAAATCTTTAAACCCATTTTTTGAAGAGTTCTATTGTCCAGCCAGACAATTCTTCAAAGTTTATCTTCCATATACTGTCTCCTTAGGCATGGCAAAACGGTCCTGATACGAATACGACACGGTTTAACACAAATATGACACCGTGGTTGGGGTAAAGTTCGAGTTAACGCTTATTTGACACGACACAAACAACACACTAACCTGTTTTGCCACTCTTACTTCTCCCTACATGCAGATGTTACTTTCAAACCCATTTTTCTCTTTGCTCTTTATTTTCCCAATAGGATAATGTATGGCTAGGGTTTTAGAAGCCTACTTGTTTCATTCTAATTCTATCCCCAAAATTGTCTAGGCAGACTAGTTGTGGTTTAGAAATGGTCCACAGGTAGAAGATAGATAGATGTCAGAGAAGACAAGGCCACAAGCTTCTTGTTTTATGGTCTCCATGACCCAAAGTGGGACAATAAACATACTTCTCTCATCTACTTGAACATTGACCCCCATCATCTTGACACTCAAACCAAACAAATAAATGATCTCTATTTTCTTAACATCTTTCTATTCTTCCTTTGTCTCTACAACTTTGGTCCCACCATATCCATTACACCTCCGCTGAAACCCTCATTTTATTTACCAGCAATACNTTAAAATAAAAATATGAAAGTGAAATTTGAAAATAAAACACATTGAATTTTCGCCATGTGTATGGCTCTATTAAAAATAAAAAAACTAAAAGAAAAAGAAAACTAAAAAAATTGATTAAAAAAATAATAATAATTACAAGGCAAACCTAGGTCGTGTCTGCCTCTCTGGTGTCGGTCAACCACTCCTAGGCTAGCGTGGCCAGCATGGATCTAGCGACGCCATGCCAAATTTAGGCCAATGCTAGCAAGCGCAAGGCCAAATCTTGCCCACCAACGACGAATCGAGCCATCATTTTTGTTTTAATTTTTTTTTTTTTATAGTTTTTTAGTATTTTTAATCTTTTATTTAAACATTTTTATAGTATAATGGAGTCAAACTTAAAAAATAATAATAATAAAGTCACCTTCTTAATTTCATTAATTTTGAAGGAGTTAACGACTTTTTTTCACTCAAATAATAATTTAATGACACTTTCTCATCTACGGATTTTTAAAATATAAAATTTTCATCCAAAAAATATATTTATGACATTTTCCCACCGACCCCACCAATGATCATTCCAACATCGCGAATGATTGTTCCACCATCGCTAACGGTCATTCCACCACGGGAAACAGTCGGTTCATTGGATCTTTAAAAAATCCATAAAATTTCAGAAGCATGCACAACTTTCTGGAACGATGACGTTCTACCAAAAACAATCTTTGAGTGGGAACGGTCATTCCACCACAAGGAACGGTCGTTCCATTTGAAATACATGAACTTCAACTTAATCTTCAAGATTTGTCTTCTACGATTTGTCAAAGGTGCGAAATCATTTGAATTTTGAGTACTTTGACTTTGGAAGTGAATGGAATAGGCGTGTTGCTTGGTCGCGCCGTTGTGAGTGACTTAACTTTATTTTGGGTAGAAGCATGCACGATCATATGGAACATTGTCATGCTAAGAGAAACGTGCATCTTGGCAACTCTATGAAATTAGGAATGGTTATTTTGTCGTCCTTCATAGTCGTACCAACTAGGAAAACTGTATTTTGTTTTTTATTATGACTTCTTGTCCTACCTTTGCATGTTTATTAAAATATCAATTTACTTTTCGGTTAGTTTTGACACATCAAAACACAAGAGAGCTTAACATGTAGTTTTGTGAAACTTATGTTTCTAAGTGTTGTACTAAAAATATGTGTTCTCTTAGTGATAATATTTCTTATTATTAGATACCAATTAGATCCTAATTAGAAATATTCTCACATATAAGCAATTTTACTAATCTTAATTCTCTAAATGTTAAAGGTTTATTTGAAAGACAAATTTATGCATAAATTCACATTGCTTAGCTTAATTACTTTTAATGAAAAATTATAAGGACAAAAATAGTTGGAATACACTAAACTTTCGAGTCTGGCACCATCTAACATGTTTTAATTAGATAATTAAACCATATTGTCAAATATTAAACTTGATCTAGACTATTGAGTTTAGCATAATATAGCGCTATATACTAGTAATATAGTATCTATTGTTTCGTTAAGTTTATAATTAGTAAGTCATTAGATTTTACGACTAAATTTGTATTTTAAATAAATCCTGCATATTTGGGAAAGTGTAATTACAAGTCCTTACTGAATTTGGAATATAATTATTAGTAATATAATATTTATTGTTTCATTAAGAGTATATCCAAACCCCATTTAATTAAAAGACAAAAATCGTCTTTGAAAGAATTTTAACAAAATAGAAATGAGTATCTAATAAATACTAACTATTGAAGGAAACATTTGAAAATAAAAAAAAAAAAAATTATTACATATATTTAGGCAAAAACATATTAATATGTTGTGTTTACTGTTTAGACATAGGCTTTGAAGTTGAAGACAGAAGCAAAGTAGTTGACGTTGAAGGCCCGGCCTCTCCGTCAAATCTATTACGCAGTTTTAGGCAGAGATTTGCGTGATAATAATATTATTATTATTTTTTAAAAATAAAATAATTAAAAGGTCAAACAGACTCAGACAATTTTGTCTCTTTATTTTTCTTGCTTCCTTTCCACTTTCCTCATTTTCCATCTCTGCCTTTTCTGTTTTACTTATAACCAAACAAGAAACAAAGGCACAGAATTATCATTACCTCACCATTTCCATGGAAATTCAATCCAATTGGGAGGATCAGAACGATCCCTTTGAGTCTGGTTTGAGCTCCATTGTTACGTCTCCTGCAGCCTCCAATGGCAGTGCCATTCCTGCTGATGCTTTTATGATCAGAGAAGTTATTGGAAGACTGGGAAACATTTGTAATTCTTCTGATATTTCACCCCAATCTTATCTTAATAATACTTTCTCAATTCCCTTTGAATCAAAAAAGCTTGGTGGATCTAACGATGGGAATAAGAAATTCAGTAGGTCTTCAACGCCTGAGGAGTCTTCAGTCTCAGACCAGATCCCGAAACCCCAAATTGATTCTAATCCCAGAAAAAGAAAATCCATTCCAAGACCAAAGGTAACAACAACACACCACACCACAATGATCTTGTTTCTTTATTTACTTTTCTTAATTATTCTCTTCATTCATTCAATTCCTCTTTTCAGTTGGTAGCAGAAACTGAGGAATCTGATACAAAGAGAAGCAAGGCAGAGACAAATACAAATGATAATTCAAAGCCACCAGAGCCACCAAAAGATTATATTCATGTGAGAGCCAGAAGGGGCCAAGCGACGGATAGCCACAGTCTGGCTGAGCGAGTAGGATTTCAAAACTCTTTGTTAGTTTAATTAATTAGATTTGTATTGACATATATGTGGTTTGTTGTTATAAAGGTACGTAGAGAAAAAATCAGTGAAAGAATGAAGTTCCTTCAAGATCTTGTTCCAGGTTGTAATAAGGTAAAGATGCAGAATATATGGTACATGCTCAGCTTTTCACACCACCCAATTATTTCTGACTCAGATTTCTGAAAACAGGTGACTGGAAAAGCAGTCATGCTTGATGAAATTATTAACTACGTCCAGTCACTGCAGCGCCAAGTTGAGGTAAAAAAATTAAGCACAAGAAACCAAATTTTGTTCAAAAGTCAACTACTTTTATCAGCTTTTGCTCAACTTTTGTTTTTCTTCACAGTTTCTCTCTATGAAGTTGGCTTCTGTGACTCCAAGAATGGACTCGAACATGGATGCTCTTCTGTCAAAAGATGTAAGTGGGTCACTTTTTTATTTTCTAAATTTTCCAGTTATGTGTCTTATAAACTAAATGTAAATGCAGATGTTTCAATTATCTCGTGGATCTGGGCAACCTACACTTTATCCAGTAGATTCTTCAGTAACACTCCCTTTTGGGTATCAGCAAGAGCTGCCTCTGTATAATATTAGTAATGCAGAAAATCAATTTTTAATTAACCAATTGCATCAAAATCCAAGCATGCAATTCCCTCCCATTAATGAAGCTGCCTTTCAGGTAATCTAATCTATATATGCTTAGAAGAAGAATATCTCTAATTTCTTACATTATTTTTGCAAGATCCCAATGCTAATTACACTAAAAATGAATTCATTTTTAGGTTCCATCATTCTGGGAGGACGACCTTCAAAGCCTTGTTCAAATGGGTTTTAACCGGAATCAGCCACAGGCCTTTCATGGTAAGTCAAATTTTTTATGTGCAATCTTCAAGATTTTGAGCTCAATTTTTTTTTTTTTTAATAGAAAGAAAACATTTGATGCAGGGTCAATGGGTGAAGGTCAGTTGAAAATTGAGTTGTAATTACCAGCAATAATCAACAAAAAAGTTTTAATTGGATTGAAGCCCCAGCCCAGTCCCCCGAAAAGAGAGGCTTCTGTACATAGAGATGGATTTGAGTGAAGAAGAAGAGAGCATTATTTATTTCTCATTCTAATTTGGCTTATTGTTTGATTAGAGGTCTTAGAACTAATTGCAAAATGGGAAAGTTTTGGTTTCAACCATAAATTAAGGAAGATATGTTTTCATTGAGAATGATGGGTTTGTTTAGATTGATGAAAGTGGCGTAAATTGTGGGAAAAGGAAAATAGATTCTTACTTGTAACCAGCTGTTAAGTGGGGACAAAATATGGTATGTTAAGTCCAACTGATGATTAAGAATGATTTGTTTTGAGCTGGAATCCAACCCCTTTTCTTTCTATTTTACTGTTTAACGATTTTGACAACCTATTTGCCTCAAAAGCACAGGTTGGGAGTTGGATGTATGGATACCATTCCAGATGGATCCACTACCTTTATGTGAAAAATCCATTACTCGTTGAATGTTTTTATTTGACATGTCCAATTTTTAAATCACTTTTTTTTTTTTTGGTAAATGTGGGGTATATGGGCCGGCTTGCTCGTGTTTCAATTAATCTCTAAGTCTATTGAACACCTTATAAGTCCAAAAGATCATATAAGTCATAATGTTATTGTAGTAGGTGATCCTACGGTTTGAATCTAGAAACTCATGAAAGCAAGTAAACCGTTGGGCCAATCCATTGGGATTTACTTTTTCTTTTACATAAACACATATTTATTTATTTGAAATCTGTGTATATTTTCAACAAGAAAGATAAGTCAAAATTTTTATCATGCAACAATATCTTCGCCCAACTTCTTTTTTAAAATAAAAATATGTAATTTTTGGTAGAATTTATTATATTAGAAAGATAATAAAGACAATTAATTTTACACTGTGAAAGGTGTCTAGATGTTGTTTATGGTGGGTTTTAGAGATTATTTAGGGTGTTTAATAATTTTACATGGTGGTTATAAGTAGTTTTGTAAAACTTCATATGAAAGGCACATGCCAAAGCCTGGTCTTAGCATAGGTATACTCCGAGCCTGATTTTCTTGGGCCGGGCCCAAGTGTTACTTATGCTCACACCGAGTCGGTTTTTTTTTTTTTTTTTTTTTTTTTTTTTTTTTTTTATTAACTTTCTTTGACGAGAAGAGAGGATGCAATTGAGAACCAATTAGAAAGAGATTTTCAAAGAGAAATTTGAGAGAACAAAATGTTTGTTGGCTTTCTAAGCATGTTGCATATGGCTGAAAGTAGAGTTTCCTCATTTCTTTTATCACCAATGTATTTCTATTTGCTGTGATTTTTGGTTTTATTTTAAGTAATTCCCCTACGTAGTCATATCACTAATTTTAATTCTTAAACTATCACGGTTTTGTTTAAAAGAAAAAAATAACCAAAAAATCATGTGAGTTAACCTAATTGTCCTCAATAAAAAATAATAACGATAAATATAGTCAAAATACACTAGACTATAAGTCTAGCACATTTTAATCAAACTATTAACTCATATCATTAAATAAAAAATATCAAGTCTAGTTTGATCCAACATAATCTAACGTTATATGTTATAAAACATATTCTTTGTTGTTTCATTAAAGATATAATTGACAAGTCACTTGATTTTACGACTAAATTTGTTATTTAAATAAAAACTTTCACATTTTGAGAAAATAAGACTATTAACTTGGTTATATATGTCCAAACCCCTTTTAATTTTATGCACAAAGATACGTGGTATGTGTTGATGCCCACTTTCGTCAAGGAGGCCCATCAAGGCGCAATATGATTTTAAGATTTAAACAAAGCCTATTAGGCTCCATTTAAAGGTTTGTTTTTCTCAACTCTTTCCCGAAGACCGACAGACCCAATTTTATGAGACTTAGGTTCTCACCCTTGGGCATGAGTGTACTTTTGTGAAAAAAAAAAAAAAATATATCTCTTTTATTTGCCTCCATATGGAATTTCATTGACGAATGATTTTGGCATGGAGGCTTCCGCTTATGGATGTCATTCGGGCGAGTTGAGTTGGATACTAAGATTTTTCATACCTATACATACTATATGGGTAAAAAATCATCTTGGATTTAATGAGGCCTAATAACGAAATAAACATATTACGGTTCAATGCTTTACCTCAATTTTGATTGGGTCTACGCTTAAAATCACCTTATGAACTGCCCAATCTATGAGTTAGGCTATCCTACAAGTTAAGCTGAACTAGATTCCGGCCCATTAGCCTACAACAATCTATAAATAGGAAATCGGAATCCTATTATATTTCCTCTTCTGCTAAGATTTGGAATCTTACTCAAACTAGTAAACTTAATCCAATAAAGGCAAGAAATCCTAGTTCTTTCTTGATGGGGATTATCTCCCAAAATAGGGCTCGGTGTGGATTTCAACCCCTTGGGTTCACTATATAAACAGAGGTCTGCCCTCTCATAATTCATTCAATCTCTAATACTCAAAATCACTTATTTGCTCCTAAGTTTTTGCTTTTAAGAATTAGACACCTTCGTCGTAGTCATAGCGTCCGACTAGACTCTTGGTAACCCTTCTTTCCCTTAATTATTATTAAATATTCTCTTTCAGTGTTGCTAATTTGAGCGTCAGAGTGTCTATGGAAAACACCATCCCGGTGTTTCCGTAAGCTTACGCTTGTCTCTTTGTGTGTGCAGGTGCAGCGGATTGTCAGTGGCCTTAACCTCATAGGATCAGACCCTATTTCCGTAACTATAGATTTTTTAAATCTACACATCTATTTTATAAATATACTCAAGATCAAACCATTATTCTAAAAACTAGGTGGGTTTTGGGTTTGGGTTATTTTTTTACCAAAATACCCTAGTTTACCCATTTGACCCTTTTCTTGCGAAAAAAGAAAAGTCAAATGTAACACAATATATCTAAATATTTCTTAAAATAAAATAATCAAAATACTAAATAATAATAATTTATAATATGAATCTTGCATTACCTATTGCATATCTAAATTATATGACTTTAGTAATTATAGATGAAACAATTTAATTACATAAATTATTTTCATATTCACAGGTGAAGAATGACAAGAAATCTGTTTTAAGTCAATAAAAGGATAAAGTTGTGGTGGCTACGGTTTTCTTTAATTTGAATAAAGAAAAAGAGTAAATATAATAACTTTTTATGAATAATATTCATAATTTTTAATAGTAAAAGTCATATATAATTATTGATTTACAATTATATATTTTTGGGCAAAAATGGGGCAAGTCAGGGTAAAAGTTAGCATTCCATTCTCACCTCTGCCTCAAAATAATTTGGGTCAAGATATTCAAATCTGAATCCGCTCTACCCCAAAATTTTTACTCCCAACTCCAACCGATTAGGGTGACGCTTCAAGGAGCCCCAAACCCATAGGTCATTTTCAGATTGCTAGTCCCGCTTACCTTGGTTCTAGAGTCTTTTAGGGTATAAAGACATGAAAGTGCTAAGTTTA